TTAAGCAAAGTTTTGATAGAATCCATTTTCCTGACATCAAAATCTATTTTCTTAGCAATCAGTTGTTCCAAAAATAATGTGGCACTTTTCAAAGAAATTTTTGCGAATTTTTATCTTGTTTTGTTTGAACGAGTTATTCTTCACAAATTTAATCCTATTATATTGTTAATTTCGTATTATTTATAGGCTAATCGGGATGTTCCATAAGTGGTATTGTAGCAGCAACGAATCAAGACAGCAGCATTAAGTAGTCAATTTTAGAAAATTGTTTTGCCTAAACGAACCGTCTGGCTCACGCCAGGAAATACTGTAGTACCATATACCGCACAAGCTTCTCCAATTTGTCCTAACTGTTAGCTGTGAGAAGCATCATCAGCGTAATGTTAACAGAATTGTCAAATTCTTACTTTCGCTTTTTCTACATGATTCAGCTAACTTCTGCAGCTGGACGACGTGGTTGAACGTAGTTCAATGTAGTGCTTAAAAAAGCATTCCAATTGGAAGCACCAGTTGTACAAACCTCGACAGCACCACAGCAGGACCACAGTCTCACCAAATGCGAAGGGCTGGTATAACCGAGCGGCTTGATGGCGGCGCAATTGCTCGTCGAGACCGATGCTGTTGGTGACCTTCCCTCGGCTGCTGCCGTGAAGCTGCTCTAAGTGGGTGATATGTAGGAGTGACCAATTGCCTCTTATCATAGTGCTTAGAGCATATATGGTGTCCATAAAGAACTTTTAGGCTACTCCATAGTTTACCAGAATTAGATCTGACCGGCAGATTTCCGGAGGGCAAGCTGGAATCCGTTTTTGCAAAAAAAAGCAAATAAAGGGGAAGTCGTATGGGGTCCAAGGATGAGTTTGGAGTCAGACAGCTGGTCTCCGGAGGGCAAGCTGGAATTCATTTTTGTGGAAAAAACAAAGGGGAAATCGTATGGTGCCGGAGTTCAATCTCAATTAAGACCGCTTTTTCCACAACAAGAATGTTGAAGCTACCTCCTCCCCCCTCCCTTCCCTTCCCCTCCTCTCTTTCCTAGCGCGGATG